CAAGAACCAAGGCTGTCACTCTCTCCTTAGAGATCAGTGAAAGTCACTCCTTAACAACCCATGGGGAAACCATGCCCCACCGCCTAGCCTCAAATCTGCATTAGACCTAACTGGACCTGGTCTTTCCAAACCATCAAGCCCACCCCCAGAGATACACTTCATCCAAACAGTTTTACTGAGTGGGGACCAAGCATTCAAACATATGAGACTATGGGGGCCATTTTTTTTGGAGTATTTTTTTTTATCACAAAAACCGAAATGAAACTAAAACAGTCACCAGATAGACATTGACAGCATTTCCATAGGAAGTGTCCTTGTGGGTCCTGCACTTACAGGATTTACCAAAGAGCTACCATTAGCAGGTGCATGCAGGTACCCACCCTTAGCTGGTTTGACTGTTGGGAGGGTAGCGACGGAGGCTGGGCTTGCAGCAATGATCAGAGATGCTGGAGAGAGATGCTGACTCAGATGCAGCTGATGCTGAGAGCTGCACCTGCTCTCTGCTCTCTTTGGCATCAAGGAAGTTTCTTCATGGTGGGACTGGGAGCCTACCAGATGCCAAATTCATTTCCAGCTCATCAAAGTGGATTTGGATGCATGATTTTTTGCTTCATTAAGTCTGAACTACATCAGAGCAACAACATATTTTGGCATTAAGTACAAATGAAATTTGGAATCTATTGAATTCAAGCTCCAGAAAACCAGACAGCCTCTTGGTGAGCATTTTTATCATCTATTGAATTCAAGCTCCAGAAAACCAGACAGCCTCTTGGTGAGCATTCTACCAACGCTTCCTGCCAAGAGAGGAAAAGCCCCACAACCTGCACAGAGCTAACCATATAACAAGGAGCAAGTTGGTCGGAAGCACCTAATTATTTGCACTCAGATGCTCCCATTCACAGTTTGGTGACCTGGAGAGCCTCCTGGTTGACAGTACCCATGCTGGGACCTGATCTAGCTCCCTCTTCTCACTCCTCCTTTGGCCCTCTCTCCAGTGGCATTCAGAAATTGCCATTAGCTCCTCTGTCTGGAGTCACATGCAAATGTAAACTCATCTTTCAAGACTCTGGTCTCTAAGCGCCTTACTCTTCATCACCGCCACGGCTTTAAGAAAGATATTCTCCATCCCAGCCCAGGTCCCAGAATAAGACTCACACCTTCTGGATTATGCTTCACATCCACTCAGCCTTGAAGTGCCAAGGACTGGATAATTCAGATGTGAAAGTCAGTGTCCAAATTGACCAGACTGGAAACCAATAGGGGCCAGTATTCCTAGGAAGGATTGATTCTCTAGCACAGAATAACGTGTGTTCTCTTTCCCTCGTACCTTACCCCAGCTCAAACTCTTGTTCTTCCCACTCTTTCTGCCAAATTAGAGACTAATGTGGTGGATAGCATCTGCACACCTCTCTCTCTTTGCACTTTCCCCCTTACATTCCAGTTTCTTTCTGGGAAGACTAAGGGTCTTGCTTGAACATATTATCACCCCCAGCAAAGACCACATAACTGTCCCAAGCCTGCTTACCACCCCATGCTCTATGTGCCACTTTCATGTATTCTATTATAGCCTTCAACCCAGACACTTTGGGGGAGTCCCTATGCTCACACGGCTGACCCATTCACCACAGAGGCCTCATGTAGAGGAAGATGGGCCAGCCTGCGACTCTCCCCAAGGACACTCTACTCTTAGATGGCAGGCCTTGGTTATGTGCCTTCTCACCCCACGTCAGGGGGCATGCAACCATCACTACAGCAAAGAGGCACACCATAGCATACCATATGGGGGAAGGTAACCTCCATGAACACTGCCCCTCAGAGGGATCAGTTTCCATTACACACCGTGCAGGCACTCCTGCCAGACTTCTATTTGGTTCTGTTTAGGCACCAATTGTGTTACACGGTTAATCCAGGCAGGAACAAACATGTTTTCACCTCAAATGGGGCACACTTGTACCCACGTCTAGCTTGGTGAAACAGTGGGTTGTTGGGGTACTTACAGGAGTGTTGGGGACAGTTTACTTCTAGGCACACGATGATGTAACAGCTGCTGTGTACTGAAAAGTCCATTTCAACATGGGGCGGGGGGAGGGGGTGACACAAAAGCCATATCCATGGAGATCTTTGCTAAGCTAGCAGGCAACTCTCCAGGAGTGCCCCCTTTCCTTGGCATTATTAATATAACCTCAAAGGAGGGATACTGATAGTCTTGTAACTTTGAGCTTCCTTAGCCTAATGAAGTTCCATTAGCTTCCTTAATCTTTTGTTTTAATGTATATGGGTATTTTGCCCATATGTATGTCAGAGGCCAAAAGAGGGTGCCCTGGAAGTGAAGTTAATAGATTGTTGTGGGCCACTATGTGGATGCTGGGGGTTGAACCTGGGTCTTCTGTAAGAGCCACAAGTGCTTTATACTGCTAAGCTATCTCTCCAGAGTCTTTAGTCTTACAAAGCTTGATCCTCCCCCTAGCATGCAATCTCTATCAACTGTACACCAGGAGGTCCCTAGGATGGGAACCACAGTCTCTCTGGCTGAGGAGAGCTGCCAGGTAGTGCAGGGCAGATGTGGGCGACCAGGATGCTGAACTGGGTCACTTTAGGGCTGAATGGAGACCACAGACAGGATCCTGAGAACGTTTATGAAGTGTTCCATCCTCATTGACAGGTTTTAGAATATCTGTTGTCAAACAGACCCCTAGACACACAGGATACTCTCTCTCATTCTCTGGGGCTCTGTGGGTAATGACTGAAGACTGAACTTCACTGTGGGCCAGACACTAGAATTTATACTCCTGGAGTCAGAAGAGACCAATTGGAGTCTTACAGCCATTTTAAATGTCTCCATTAAACCTTGGCCCACAACATTATCTTCAGGGAACAAAAGAAGCCTGGGACCTTGGTAAAGAACATCAGAATTACACCAACTTGGAAAAAAATGCTACTGGTGTGTCTTCCTCTATGTTCTGAAATTCTACTGTCCCCCACTCCTGATGGAGCATGGGTGGGGGCGGGGCTTATGATCCTGTCCTGGTACTGGGCTATACTCTGAAGGGATGCTGGGAAAGACCTTCTGGTAGTCCCTGGGTCAGGACAGCGAACAGGAAATGAAAGTTACAGCAGTGACATCCAGCCATGAAACACTGCCCAGCCTTCATCCTCATGAAGCTGTAAAATCTTAATATATCCAGGTGTGATGGCTCAGGCCTCACACCAGAGTTTGAGAGGCTGAGATATGAGAACTGCAATGATTTCAAGGCCAACCTGGGCTACATAGTTGTGGTGGTTTGAATGAGAAATGGCTCCAGTAGTCTTGGGAATCCGAATACATGGTCCCCAGTTGTTGGTGCTGTTTCGGGAGAGAAAACTTATTTATTTGGAAGGGTTCACAAACTGGTTCCGCAGCTCTTCAAGGACATACTAGTAACAATGAGGTGTTTGGGTGCACCATGAGAAAGTAAAATCACAGCATTGTGCTAATGAGAGAGAGAAAAGAGAGGGAAAGGGAGAGGGAGAGGTGGCTTTTTTTTTTTTTCTATAAATCAGGTTCCCACTGAGGGTGATTATTTTCTTTTTTAAATTATTTTTATTTTATGTTCACAGGCCTTTTGTCTGCATGCCTGTCTGTGTGAGGGTGTCAGATCCTCTGGAACTGGAGTTACAATTTTAAGCTGCCATGTGGTTGCTAGGAATTGAATCCAGGTCCTCTGGAAGATCGGCAACTGCTCTTAGCTCCAGCCTCCGAGGGTGATTATTTTAATCTACTTGCTAGATATATAGTTCAGTATGCCCACATGTATACTTGGCTAGGAGGCAGCCCATGTAACTTCTGCCCTGCTGGACAAAGGGATTGCTACTTGAAGCCTTCTAAGGCTTTCAAGCCAGTGGAAGAGGAGCGATGTCCACTGTTACAGGCTTTGAAACTGTTCAGCTGGAGCCGGGGTTCCTTCATTTACATGTGGGGAAATGAGGCCTGGCAGCTCAACCCCACACTCCCTCCCCTTGCCTGGACCAGCATGAAGTATGATGTTCTCCTTCGGTTGGAGGGGAATGAAATCCAAGGCTTTCAGTGGGGAAGGGACTTGGTTGGAAATCTAAATGGCTATAGGTGGCTCTTGAGGAAGCACCTGGGAAGGACCCAGCAGCTGCACAAAAACAGGTGAGTGAGATGCTGAGGTACCTGGTGTGGAGCATAGTTCACACGTATCCTGGTAACTTCCCGTACTACTGGGCTACCTGCCCTCAGAATGCTCAAGCTGGCCTTTTCTGTATCAACTAGTAACCCCTGAGACAAGACAGGAGGAGGAAGTAGAATCCCCAGGGAAGAGGGGAGAAATCGGTTTCCCAACCCAGATTCTGAGTCATGTTTAGGCCCTACGAGACGCCATGTCCTCCGATTCTCTATGTTAAACAAACACAAATCACAGTTACCGTCAAAACTACCTTCTGCACCACACACACACACACACACACACACACACACACACACACACACACCTTCTTGTCTTAAGCACTATTCAATATTCCTTCTTGCTCCAACCCTCCTCTAATGAGAAAAAAAAAAAAAAGAGCCAAGAGAAGAGATGGGGTAAAGGTGGATATGTGGGTTACATTAGTGAAGAAATGGGTGCCAAGGAGAAGCCAGGCATCCTGGACAGCTTCTCCTGGTCAGCAGGTGAGGCCTCCTGTATCAGGAGCCAAGACCTGGCTTCTACCAAGGTGTGTCTGTGCTTCCGAATGACCGGCTGAGGTCCCCAGCAGCCCCAGGCTTAAGGCCTTATAACCGGTAAGAACCTTTGGTCTCATGGGCAACAGCAGGCAGACCCAAAGCTGGTGACTCCAGGCCAACATATGAGTGCTTGCATTGTGACCTCAGCTGTTCCGCATACAAAGAGGTGGTCACCCTACCATTGCCTAAGCCTGTAAGTTGCATAGGAAGGTGGCTCAGTCCCAGGGGGCTGTTGTGGGGAGGTTGGGAAGGTGAAGAACGCCCTGGCTATTCCATCATGTCGGTCAAGAGGGCAGACCTGAGGAAAACCAACCTGGTAAAGGAAGAATATTGCCAGGCATTGTGGGGCCTCTGTGAGCTCCTGCCAAGTGGATTCAGGGCAGAGGGGATATTGGAAATGACCCTGCGAACCTTCCAATGTTCTTTCTGTGTTCAGACCACATAGCAGCCCTCAGCCTGGACTGGGTGGAAATTGGTGCCTGGCCTTGGAGTGGGAAGGACAGGGTCTGTGACAACTCTGTGTAAGACCCAGTGCTCTTCACGACAACTCACAGTCCAGAACCCAGCCAAGGCCTGTATCTAACTGGCCCATCTAAGGTTCAAAATAACCTCAATAGATTGTTGGGCCCACTTTATAGATGAGGAAATGGAGGCCCTGGCACTAAGTAACATGTTCACATTAGTATGGCTAAAAGAGAAGACAGCTGATGCTAGAGCCTGGGTCATTCTTGAAACAACCTCTCTGGCTTCCTAAAAGTTGTCCAAAGTAGCTTTCTCTGTCTGCTGGACAGACACATGTATGCTCATTAGAAACAGATAACATGGCCAGAAACAGACACCATGGTGGGACCACGTGAGCCTGAACTCAACTGCTGTTCACAGAGTGGTTGCTGGGGTCCTCTTGCAAGCACTAGCTAATATTCTCCCCTAATCCTGACATGCGGCCAACTACACTGTTACCTTCTCTCTCTCTCTCTGCAGAAAAAGAACTACAAGGCAGTTAGCTTGGAACTGAAGCCAGAGCTGACACAAGTAAGAAGTTTTGAAGTTATGACAGCAGCCAGGTCTGAGATCCATGGGGAAGTAATTGGAGAAAAGGGTCATTTCCTATTCTTGGTGACTAGAACCTATCCTAGGTCCTGGGGGACATAAGAAAAAATGAGTTCTTTGTCTTCATAGACAAATCAGACTGTGACTAATCAGAACATAAAGAACATAGAATGCTGGCTGTGTCACCTGTTACATGGAGAAGGGAGATGAGGAGAGGCATGGGTGGCTGGTTTAGGGTTGGGAAAAGCCTCTCCTGAGCACGAGCCCAAGGCCTAGATGCTGGCAGAGCAGAGTCTGAGGAAGAACGTTCTAGATGGAGGGAAGAAGCAGCCTGAGGTGGGAATGAGCCTGGCTGTGTAAGGGGACCCACTGAGACAGGAGAAGTGTGGAACACACGGAACCCAGAGAGCAAAGAAAAGGGCAGAGGGGACTTCTGCACAGGCAGGGCCACTGACTTGTCTTTGTGCCCTGTCTCCAGGGAGGGACAGAACTCAGGGTGGGCTCTCTAGCCCCTGCAACCCCACCCACACATACCATTTCCAGTGCTTCTGTGTTTCTGTTTCAATCCACAGATATATGATTATAAAGGATTTAAACCAGAAGGGCTACCTATCAAAAAAGGGATGACACAGGAGCTGAAGGTCAGTGTTTGGGCCCAGGTGGCTTGGGAACAGATCACTTGTGAAGGGGTGGCCCATCAGCTAATTTCTGAGTGTTGGTACCTACTGGCACCTACCACGGGAGAGGCTTTACTAATCCTGGTCTTATATTTTTAACCTGTTACTTTGATTTATCTAGAAGTTGCAAAGAATTAGGTATAATGAATTCTAGTACATATTTCACCCAGATTCCTTAAATGCTGGCAATTTATCACTGTCACTTTAGTCTCAGTTTCTGTCTCCTTTACACACACACACACACACACACACACACACACACACACACACACACACACTCACTCACATACACATACACACAGAAAGAGAGAGAGGAGAGAGGCCATCATATCTATAGGCCCCCAAACCTTTAATTCAAGCAATCTGGGATTAAAAATATGTGATAAAGCATTATAGATATTTTTCCATCACTTCTGAAACAAGACAGCAAAGCCATCCTTTGCATAGCATTTGCATGTGAATTGTAAGTGATCCAGGGATGGATGGCTTCTTGCATATGGGAGGGAGTGCATAGGATGCAGGGGATGTCAGCACTGGCAAATTTGGATATCTTCAGGGTTCCTGAAACCAATTCCTCTCAGATAATGAGGAGCTGCTGTGGCTACTTCCTAGTCTACCCTTTCTGGATAATGGGTGGGCATCCTGCTTGTATCTCCCTTTCCTGAACTTTTCCCTTGACCTTCATCACAGAGGGTCCTGAAACCAATCCTCCATGGATACCCACAATGACCGACTCCATACACTCTCTGAACCATTTGAGAATTAAGTTTACCCAAATATTTAACATGTACCTCCTAAAAACAAGCACCTTCTCTTATGGTGCGTGTGTGTGTGTGTGTGTGTGTGTGTGTGTGTGTGTGTGTGTGTGTGTACACACACATGTCATGCCTGCAGAGGCCAGGAGAGAGCATCATATACCCATGCAGTTGGAGTTAGAAGCAGTTATGAGTCTCCAGATGTTAATGTTGGGAATGGAACTCCAGAAGAGCAGCAAGCATTCCTAACAGTTAAGACATCTCCAGCCCCATCAAATCTCTTTAGGGTGGGCTACTTTTTCAACATTTATCTTGTTAGACACTGAAAGTTTTGAGGATTTATTTTACTGATGGACCCTTACTTTCTACTTATCTGCCTTTCCTAGATTTAGGATTGGGGATCTTAGGCAAGCCTTCCAAAGCTATGCTCCTTTCGGGGTGTCTCCTCCTCAGGTCTCCAACATCTTAACACTACCCTTTCCTTCTATTTGGAAGAGTGCCAAGGGCCTGTTCTTGTTGACTGTGAAGAGATGCTGCCATTGTGTTTCTCTCACATTTATTTCCTCAGAATGAACTTAGGCAGGTGAGAGAAGAACTCAAGGAAAAAATGGAAGAGATAAAGCAGGTAACACATACGGCTTCAGCTAGAGGGGAAAAGCAAAGCTCTGAGGAAAATGCAATTGCTAACTCTGACTAGTAAAGGAAATAAGGAGTTGCAGGAGAAAAGCTACATCCTAACTCACACCTGGTCTCCTCCAGTGTGTGAGTCCTGGACAGCATAAAACATTAATTTCTTACTCCTTCCATGCCTAAGCCCATTTTTCAAGCAATTAAGAATTCCCTAATGTGTTAAGGTTAGGGGTGATGCCAACCTCAGCAATCAAAGTGAAGAGGGGCTGATCAGGAATTTGATGTCACAGATCAACTGTATCCTCCTTATGCATCTCCCCAGAGGAAGCTGCACAGAAAGAACTCTCTTGTTTCTAGGATACAATCACGTATAGTTCACTTAGGGAACAGGGGACTAAGCAAGTAGGAGCCACTGAAGCATAATGTGAGCTCCACATGTCAATGCTGTTGATAGAAATGACTTGGTGGTGGTACCTGCACCCTAGACCTGTCATAGACTTCTTGGGGAGAAAGTGGTTTATGCAGAGTATTATTTGTCTGTTCCCAAAATCCAGCTCCACCCTTTACTCAAATGCCAAGAAGATCCTGTGACTGGCTCCAGTAACACACTTTATGCCTTGTTAAACCATGCTTTTCTTCCCCATTAGATAAAGGATATCATGGACAAAGACTTTGATAAGCTTCATGAATTTGTAGAAATTATGAAGGTAAGCTTCCCCAGTATTCCTTCCGTGGGTCACATGGGAAATGATGGAAGAGATGCCAGGCCTCTGCCCTGAGGTACCTGTAACCTGCTAGACAGACTTGAAGGCTAAGACGCAGGCTGGCTGTTAATTAAGGGTTTAGAAGTGGAAGTGGGAGCTAGGAAAGAAGTCCTTAGAGAAATCCAGGCCTAAGGCTTGATGACTGTGTTGGAGCTTGATATGAATGTAGCTGCAAGCCCAGCATGGTTCCCTTTTGACTCATCAAACAAGGATAATTCAGACCACAGAGCAATGGTTTGCAAACATTAGTCTGTTTCAGAATGACTTGTAACAAGAGCCCCAGGTTCACATTCAGATAGGGCCTGAGTTTCTCCCCCTCCCCCAGTAGAAGCTTGAGAATCACTGATGTAGATGCATAAGCAGGCAAAAGGCAATGGCTAGAATATTTTCAAGAGTTCTAAGGGACACTTAGATTGCCAGGTAATTAAAATTCATTATAAAGGCACAGTCATCAAATCAGGGTGGTTAATAATAAGCAAAGAACTGGAGAGATATAAGTACATAACCCTGCGATGGCTGCTTTGCCAGGGATGGATGCCTGAGACAACCCTAGGAGCATACTAAACATCCACACACCCAGATTCCATACAGACCAAAGACTGAATAAAAACTTCAAGGTAGAATTGCTTAAGTGCTCCAAATGATTTTAAAATGTATATATGTATTTATATATGTATATGCATGTATTGAGATAGTCTTCGTAGCACATGCTGGTCTCCAACTTTTGCTTACTCCACACACACACACACACACACACACACACACACACACACACACACCTGCCCCTAAGTGCTCGGATTGCAGCACATGTCCCACATTTGGGTTCTTCACAAGTGATCTGGATGTGTGATCTTTGATGCAAACCAGGTCCTAAACACTTAAACACACCCATCAACCTCAGCTGCAGCTACAAGTTGGAACGAGATCAGAGAAGTCTGTCATACTTCCCTTTAGACCTAGGCTCTCCTCAGAACCGCTAAACCAGAATCTTTAAGGGTGAGGGCCCAGCGCCAGTAACTTTTAAACTTCCCTATGGGATTCTAATGGACACTTAAGGCTGAGAACGGTATTTCCATAGAGTTTTAAATATGATAAAGGTGATTTGTTTTGGTAGCACTAAGGATTGGATCCTGGGTCTCACATTATGAGGCACTGAGTGGGATCCATCCCTGTGGTAAAAGGTGATTTTTAAATGTCAGTGAAAAGGGTTACCTAACGATACAAGAACATTGTTCAACTCTGTGAGAAAAAACCAGTTCATTAGCTCTGTAAGCTGAAGTGGCCTATAACATGAATTTGAAAAATTAAAACCAGTAAGGAAAAGTCAAAATGGCAAAATATTGATTATTTGCCTATATAAACATTAAAAAATTATGGTGGAAAAATACCATATGCAGAATTTAAAAGCAATTTGAGGAAATAGTTTTCCATAAATGTGGTAAGGGACAAAGGCTAAGCCGTAAGATATAGCTCTCAATAGAGGAATCTAAAATGGCTGAAAGACACATAAGAAAGAAACACCCCTCCGCTGCTGTTGGGAGTGCCATCTTGTCCAGCCACTTTGGAAATCAGTATGGTGACTCCTCAAGAAAATGAGAATGACTCTACCACAAGATCCAGCAATTCCACTCCTAGGCATATAACCAAAAGAAGCACATTCATACAACAAGGACATCTGTTTAACCATGTTCATAGCAGCATTATTTGTAATAGCCAGAAACTGGAAGCAACCTAGATGCCCCTCAACTGAAGAATGGATAGAGAAAATGTGGTACATTTACACAATGGAGTACTACTCAGCAGGAAAAAAACAATGGAATCTTGAAATTTGCAGGGAAATGGATGGAACTCGAAGAAACCATTCTGAGCGAGGTAACCCAATCACAAAAAGACAAACATGGTATGTACTCACTCATATGTGGACCTGCTTTATGATACATAATAGTGACCATGCTTTATCAGAGCTGTTTTTAATGATGTTGCTCAGAATGGTTTCCTTCCAGATGATGATCGAGAAGCTAATTTTAAAAAAAAAAATGGTGCCAGGTACCACAAGAGTAACAGAACTGTGCTGTTTTCTGGGATTTTGCCTTTTACTTTATTTTTTTTAAATGGAGAGTGCTGGATGTCTCTACAATTTTGTTCAAATGACTGCAGAACCTGGAAAAGCTGTTGCTGCTATTGATGCATAACATACTGCCATTATTGGTCTATATATATATATATATATAATTTGAATTTTTGGAATCTTTAGCTGTGCTGTCAACTAAGGAAAAAAGTATCCCAGTTTACCGTGTTGAGTTGGCATTGTACAGAAATTAACTGCCATATTGGTCTAGAAATGTTGTACAGGGGTAACACACTGTATTAAATATGTAAGGTCTTTTCTACGTGGGTTTAATTACAAAAACTAATAAAGTATTCTCTGAATAAAAAAAAGATAAAAGATATAGCTCTCACACACAAAAAAAAAACAAAAAAAAAAACAGGAAATAAATGAGAAAAAGGGCAAGGGCATGATGAGACAATCCAGAGAGAACAAAGACACAGAGCACAAACAACTTTACTTTCACAGTGTAACTATGCAACTAAATAACACAGAGTTGGGGCCGGAGAGATGGCCGAGCAGGTCAGAGTGTGTGCTGCTCCTGCAGTGGACCGCAGCTTAGTTCCCAGTGTGGGTACTGGGCTCACACCTGCCTATAACTCCAGCTCCAGGGGATCTAACGTCTCTGTCCTTGGGAGGCATCTGGACTCATGTGCACAAACCCAGGCACACACAGCATCTACAAAAGATCACTATGTAATGTATCTGTCACACAAATAAGCAACATTTGGATTAATGAGAATAAACTACTGATAAGAGTACTAATTCATACAAAACTGGAATGTTAGAAAAACAGCCATTCTTACTATTTATCCCATGAGAATATTAAAATCCCAGCATGAGTATGTATAAACCATTTTAATTTCAGAATTATTTATAATAGCGAACATCTGAGAACAATCACATTTTGCAATAATAGAGCAATAACTAAATTATGGTTTATCCATACGTTAACATTAGGGTTTATTAAAGGCAATGCTTATAAAGAATGCTTAATGTAAATATATAGAAAAAAGATTGAAAAAGGAATATACCAAGCAGGCAAATAGCAACCTTGTGAGGGAGGTAAGAATATTCATTTTAAAAATATTCTCCTGTTTCATCCTTTTTTTTTTTTTTTTGCAAAGGACATGTGCTATTTCTGTATTAACATGCAAACACCATAAGCGTTTTATTAGTGGCCACTCTGGATATGGAAGGGCACAAAGAAAGCTATTTCAGGCAGGGAACAGCTTGGGCACAGCAGGAGGATGACTGTGTTTCCCAGTCAGGGGGGAGACCAGCCATGGAGTGGGGTCATCTGGGGGAAACTGAGAAATAAAAAACTGCGTGGGCACAGAGTGGACACTGATGGGACTTTAGAAACAGCTGGCAAGCTGGGACTCGACTCTATAAGCAGCAAGAAGTCTCTGGAGGTTCTTAAAGAACACACAAGGCGCAGCTGCTGGCAAGGTGGCCTGGGAGGTGCAGAGCAGGTGGGGCCGGCCTGGAGTTGCTGCCAGCTGTGATAGAGAGAGGAGAGCTGCAGAAGGGTGCAGGGAAGAGGGGAGGAGTTGAATGAGATGCAGTGGTTCCTGGCGACAGATTCGGGATAAATGGAGTGAGTCTTAAGTGAGTGTTCACGGTGACACCAGAGTGTCCATCTGGATGGGACAAGGGATTGGGGAAACTGGCAAGCATAGTGGGAAAGCGGAAGGGGAGGTTGGGCAAGATTTGTAAGAGGAAAGGACACTGGTGTGTTTGACCTTCAGGAGATTTTAATGCTATCCCCGTGTATAATAACGTTCACAAACACTCACACAGCTATCTTTGGAAACCGTCCTCTCCCTCCAGCGGAGTGATTGCTTTGTCAGCTGTCTGAATCAGATTAAACGGATTCAGAATCTTTCTGTGTTAGAAACACTTTGACTGGAGTAAATTATTTTTATATTTTATGACAACCAGTCCACACTCAGATCTGTTCATAATGAAAACTGTCAGTTACAACTGCTGCACCCTTAGGATTTCTTCATTTCCACCATTTCTATCCAGCCTTTCCCAGGTCAAATAATAAATGAGCTGTGTTGTTTTAGCTACTGTCTTCTATTTCACTTTTATGATTGGTTTCCATTGTTTTAAATTAGTGTGTGTGCGCACGCACGGGCATCCATGTATGTGTTGGGGTGTGTGGCCAGAAGCATTGGATGCCCTGGAGCTGGAGTTACAGGCTATGTGTGAGCTGCCTGATGTGGGTGCTGGGAACCAAACTCAGGTCCGCTGCAAGAGCAATGTGTTCTCTTAAGCACTCAGTCATGTATCCAGATTCATTTTACGGTATTTCGCTTCTTTCGTCTATCTACTAGAACTGTATTGTCACGCGCGCGCGTGCGCGCGCGCGCACACACATACACACACACACACACACACACACACACACACACACACACACACACACACACACGTAGAAACACTGGAGTCAAAGAGTCTTTAAAGTTCCATATTTTCTTAGCTGCACTGTTTCATAGGCATCGACTCAAAGCCTCATACCTGAGGTCAGGCAGAAGAGCGCACCTAGAGGCCATGGTAAGTCTAAGCCTCTGCCTGTGCTCTTGTCTCATCATGGAAATGGGGGCGGAAGGTGACTGTCAGGGACATGCCCCATCCACTTCAGGCTAGTGAGGATTCTTTAAGTATGACACAGAAGAGTCTGCAGAGAGAGGGGAAGGAGGGAGCCCCAAGCTCTTCAGAAGGGGTTCTAGTCTTGGGTTCTTTCTTGAAGGAAATGCAGAAGGATATGGATGAAAAGATGGATGTTTTAATAAATATACAGAAGAACAACAAGCTGTAAGTGTCACCCTCCTCCCTAAGGACTTCTCCCTCCACTTTGCTCAGCACCCTGGGGTTCAGAGAATGCCCTCCTCAAGGAATTGTCTTGGCTCTACCCTTACAATGGCTGGAAGTCAGGGTCTTTCATGCACCTGTGCACTGGTAGAAACAGTCTCCCCAAATCTCTGCCCCCTCCTGACCCACCAGTCCCCCTCCAAAACAACCAAAGGAACAGCAGGAACTCGGGCAGATAGGAAAGATGGACAAAGATCCTCAGTTCAGATTCAAGAAAATGGAAGAGCCTGATGGAGCACCATTGACTGGTGACAAGATGATGATGTCACAAAAAACAAAGAATAATCTACTGGATTCCTCTCATGCATGTCAGAGTTGCTGCGTAAGTGAATTCCTGCCCACCTTCAGCACTGGCTTGAGAGCCCTGGGCTGCTCCTGCCCTGAGTCCCGCAGAGCTCAAACTTTAAAGGGCTAGCCTCACCCTATTGGCGGCCCCTGGATGAATCCCTTAGTCTAGAAACCTCCCTTAGCTGCCCTGCCTTCTAGGCTGTGGGAAGTCTTAAAGCCACAGTTGTGCAGCCAACCCTTGGATGTGCCTTCTCCCGAGTTCTGCTCAGTCACTCTGTCCTTTCCTATAGCAAAGCCTGATGAGGTACCCAGCAGGCTGGCCAACCTGGACCAGGGGGAAAAAATGACCTTTCTTGTGCCGTTTCTGTCCTCTACAGGAGAAATGTTTGTTGTGTGCCCTAAAGACCAACTGCCATAAGGGGTAGGTAGATCCATACGAGAAGGGCCTTTCAGTTGGATGTCTTGTTATCCCCAAAAGAGTGTGCTTCAGCTTCCTTTTGCAGTGAGCCCCATCTGTGGTTGTACAGGGAATAGGGACTGTGAGTGGACTTTGCCCCCAGCGTAACCACTCAGGCATAGAGGATGTGGCACCAGGAAAACGGATTTGGGTGGCCAAGCCTTAGGGTGCTGTCCACAGGCTCCCTTGGTGGGGAGGGTATGCCTTCAGCTGCAGCCTCAGCCCGGCCCCAGGTCCCCCACATTTCTCCCACCTACCAGGAAACCTTCACACCACGCCTGGGCGCGCTTTTCACCTTTGTCATCTGGAGCTGCTTTCTGATTTATCTGTACTTCAACCCCGACGAGATGGAATATGTGCTTCCGACTTAGCACACACGGAGCCCACCAGCAGCTCTGACCCATCCTCTCTGGAAACTGCACAGCAGGGTCTTCCATCTTCTTAAACATCCCATGCCCACCCCGTCCAAGCTTCCACTGGAGATTAAAAACTACCATTGACACTCCAGAGGTTGTCACCGTTTTGAGTACCAGCCCAACATTTGGGTGCCCAACCAGTACTTTTTGCTGTTGTTGTTGTTCTAAATCACTATATTTCAGACCCCAATCCCTCTTGCTTTCCTTGTTGGCTAGTGGGACATTCTAACTGAGTGACCTCAGTCTTGTCGCTCCACTCCACTGCCCCCCCCACACACACAAAAATAAAAACAAACAAAAACCAGGTCAGAGCCCCAAGATGCCCTGGAGGTATGGAGCACCAGCCTGTGTAGACTCAAGACACGCGCCCTCTGCCCTACTGATCCCCCACATTCTGTGCTCCTGGATTTCATGGGTGACTCTGGCAACCTCTGAGTCTCAAGTCTGGCAGTACTGCACTGTTCCCCTCTAAGGTCTTATCACCAAGTAGAGTAGTGAGCTTCTTGGGCTCTGAAGAGGTTCACCTGCTTTTTGCCTTTGAGGATTTCCTCCCACCCTTCTCCCTCCTTCTCCTTCTCTCCCTCCCTCTAACCAGCCCCCTACACTCCAAAGGAGCAATGTCTCTTCAAAGACCCTTTACAAATTGGAGATGAACTGGGCATGGTGATGCTTGTCTTTGATTACAACACCTGAGGAGCAGATCTCTATGAGTTCAAGGCCAGTGTGATCTATAAATCAAGTTCTAGGCCAGCCAGAGTGATGTAGTGAGAACCTGCCTAAAACAAACAAACAAAAAGCCCACAAACAACAACAAAAACAAATTAGAGATTAACCGGTTACCACCAGCCTGTCCTATGCCCACCTCACGTCCCTAAGTGAGGCAAGCTTGAAACGAGAGAGAAGAAATGTAGAAAAAACAGTATTGTAATGACCACCCCACCACTGTGTGTGACTCTCTGGTTTTGGTCTAAGTCTCTGTAGTCACTGAACACCAATTCTTCCATCATTTTGTTGGCTGCTTCCACTTTTAGACAATTTAATCAGTCAAGTTTGTAACAGTTACAATGCAAATGCATTTAGTGCTTCAGATACACATCTTAAAACAAAAGCCAAAACACAACTTGGGCTTTGTTATTCCAGGAAGTTTGTAGTTTTAAAGGAGAGATGGTAAACATATTCTGTAAGCATCGGAGCTGTGATAGAAAGGAATTCTGGCAGTCAGGAGCCAAGGAATACCACAAAGCATAGCAGCCCACAGCCCAGCTCAGTTGTTCCCACCCACTCTGCTCAGGTGTGTGTCGCCCCTCCCCCCTCCTGAGTTTAACAACTCTGCAATGCTAGTAGAAGGTTTCTCTCTGGGTTCCAGCAAAAAGTTCTCTCCCAAACCTCATTCAAGAGATGTATTGGAAGAATCTAGGAAGATGGCCTCCTCTGCTGTGGTGGAAAACACAACTCCCAACTGAACAGGCACAGGACTTATATAGGGCTTCTTAGAGGTGGAGTTTTTCCAGGGTGGAGATTTCAGGGTGGGAGTTGGTTGGATTTTAATCCCTGACCTTGGACAAGCTCGGAGATTGGCAGGATTTCATGCTCAGGGATTGGCTGGTTTCATGTTCAGGCATTGCTGGGTTTTCCTGCTTAGGGGTTGGTTGGTTTTTGTACTGAGCTTGTCAGTGTGTTTCTTTGCCTCTGTTTTCAGGGCCAAAGTATGTTTCTTTCACTGGCCCTTTTTTAACCTTTTGGCTCTTGTTTCAAGGCCAGGGTGTGTTTCTTTGTCTGGCCCTTTTACTCTACATACGCCACATAATATATATTCTAGAGCATCTATAATTAAGTAGAGTAACCAAACATGAGGCAAACAGGAAACAGATGGGCTAGCCCTGTCCATGATTCTATCTCCACCATTAACAGACTACTACAAATGGAATGACTTGGAGCAAGAAGAAATGTGTCTTGCTTTGCTAATGACAAAGTGTCAGAGGACTTACATTACTGCTGGAGGCTTTGTGGGAGAATCTGTCCTTGCCTTTCCCAGCCTCAATGGCTGCCTCCATTTCTTAGCCAGTGCCCGCCTCCCTCCCTCAAACCATCTACAGCTGGGTATGGTCTGTCTCAAGTTGTATCATGGCAACGTGTCTCACCTTTCCTTCCTTCGGCTTTCTCTAAGACTTTTGTGATTACATTGAGCCCACTTAGATAACCTAGAATGTTCTCATTATAGTCGGTGATTAGCCACATAATGTAACTGAAGACTAAAACTTGGGTGTCTTTGGAAAGGCATACTCTGCTTACCATTGTGTCATCTCAGACTCTACCCCTGCCAAACGACCAAGCCCACAAACATTTTTGGAATGATGTGATGTTATTTAGGGTGATGGTTTTCAATCAGGCCCACAAACTCCATCACTACCCTTTCACTAAAGGAATCTAATCATTCTCCCCTTGTGGGATAGATGTAGTAACTAATAACAGAACAAGGTAGAAACCATGCAGGTTACTTCGGAGATACAGTGGCTTCCTTCCACCTTGCTGCCCTGGGAAGCTAGCTGCCATGCTTTGAGGCCGCTGAAACTGTCCTTGGCAAGGGACTGAAGCCCCAAGAGCTATCTAACATACCATGTGAGAAGTAGGTCTCAGAGTGGGAATTTTGCTCAGTTAATTTATTAGACAACATGCAGAAAGGACACAGATCCTCAGTGCTGCATAAAACTGCCCCAGTCTGCCACTCCAATCTCTTTTAGAAGGGCACTAACTCCATTCACAAGGGCTCTGCCTTTAGCCAGGTTGTTATTGCCAGCAGACAGTCATTGGAGAGCTAGTTGCCTCCAAAGGCATCGCCTGCGCATTTTAGAGGCAGATGACCGACCATCTAAACTACCAAATCTCCCTCCTCTTACACCATGGACAACCTTTGGACTCTAACCCATGGCCTGTACTGTTTTCTAGGGACCTACTTCTCTTTCTTGGGATATTGAGGGTTGAAATAAGTGTGTTTTTCTCAAGCCTGAGGCCCCAGACTTGGCACACTACTCATGTAGTCCTTGATCAGCAATCAGCCTTCAAGCCTCTGAAGATGAAATGGTTCTGGTCTAAAGTCTACATTCATTAATGACAGAAAAGGAAACCCGCCTGGAACACAACAGAAAGGCCCTGTGACCCTAAAATACAACCCCTCACCCCGGTCCTGTTGTTCCTTTAAAAAATAAAAACAAAACCTTCCCCTCTGAATCAAGTGTCTATAACATAATTTGGTTAATTAAAAATGTTTCCCCACCTTTCTGCTTCTTAGCATTCTGCTAGCTCATTATTCCTAGCATGGTTGAGATGAGAATGTAAATTTGTTTGAGAGGAACCAATGTTAACTTTACTAGAAAGAAGTATGAACTTGAACCATGATTCTCAAATCACAGTCTCTGACAGGTGACCCTAAGTCTCAGGATTCAAGCTGCGACCTGCCCCCAAGGCTCTATCTACCTGTCTCTTTGGGGCCTCCTTGTCCTGCCACACTCCACACAGCCACCAATAAATTTCCCCACCTGTGCCCCCAAATCTCTTCTTGACCCAAAGTCATAACAGAGGTCATTGTCCCTGCTTGGTTTTCTGACAGCCAGAGCACAGGGGGATCCCTAGCCCAATGCTGGACCTTAGTCCCCAGCAGGATTCCCTTTAGCCCATCTGTCTGCCTGTCAGCTTGGTGCCCTGGATGAGCCATCCAGGAGACCTGGAGTGTAAGAGAGTGCCGAGTCCCCCTGAGCAGCTGGCCTGGCACTCCTGTCAGAGCTCTATGGGTTAGTTTGAGGATCCCTGAGAAGATGAATAAAGTGCAAAGCCCAAAGCAATCGAGGGAGGAAGCTGTCTTTCCTCTGTATCATCCCATTTGTCTGTTTGTTGTCTCCATAACTGACTGAGACTGCACATACAACTTTGCTGAGGATCAAAACCAGGCTTTCACATATAAGAAAATGTTTTTCTGCTCTTCCAGAGGACCTGAGCTCAATTCCCAGGACCCACATGGAAGCTCACAATTATCTATAACTCCAGTTCCAGGGGAATCTGACACCTTCACACCAAGGCACATAAAATAAATTTTAAAAACTTAAAAGAACAAAGTGTTCTTCCACTGAACAACATTCCAAGCCCCATGTTCTACCTCTGGCAGCTCCAAACACTTTCCTAGAAGAGTTTAAAGTGAGTGAAGACAGAAACTATACAAAATTCATTGATTTCCCTCCACTTCTGCTTGATTGACATTGTGGACAAATGTATGCATTTACAAAGATATTGCTACCACTTAGTCTTTTAGGCTTGACATTTTCTGTCTTTCTCATAGCAAACAAGCAACCAAGTTCCATGGGACTCCCCCTACCCCTGTTTTGGTTTTGATTTTTGTTTTGTTTTTTGTTTTTTTTTTGTTTTTTTTGTTTTTGTTTTTGTTTTTTGTTTTTCGAGACAGGGTTTCTCTGTGTAGCTTTGGAGCCTATCCTGGCACTCGCTCTGGAGACCAGGCTGGCCTCGAACTCACAGAGATCCGCCTGCCTCTGCCTCCCAAGTGCTGGGATTAAAGGCATGCACCACCAACGCACGGCCTGTTTTGGTTTTGAGATAGGGCCTTATGTACTGCTCTGTGCAGCCAGGGTCTTGGGGGACATCTCTCCAGCCCACTTCCTGCTTCCCTGTGCTCCACACCCTTGCTCTCCTGGACAAGTCTAGGACCCAGATGATGGACAGGTGAATATTGAGGCCGGTTGTCCAGTTGGATTTCTTTCCCTAGGAATTTGGAGTAGGATACAGTTGACTCAGTTGGCCTGCAGAGATGAGAGCTGGGAACTCAATTAAAACAAAGCAAAAGGAACAAGCAAAAGCTGCTGTAATGATGGAGTGTGGCCCAGCACTGCCTTTCCTGCACTCAAAGGCCTTCAATGCACAGTCTCACCTTTCAAACACCTTGCCTAATC